CATAAAGTAGAGTACACATTCCCAAGTATGTACATAAAGTAGAGTACATTCTGACTTAGTTTGTGCCATTCTGGGACCTCCTACTACTACAGGACCACATTCCTAAATTCTTACATACTGCCGTCTAGTTTTCAAGTTCTTCTCCCATTGATGTCATTTCTAGTTCCAGTAATAAACTGGTGCTGGTGTGTCCCTCAGCATCTAGCCCCAGACTACTCACACAAGGTGCTGATCCCGGATTTTACGCAGCTGGATCAGGTCAGGTTTGATGCTATTCATTTTTTTATCTATTTCCCGGTTGTCCAAAGCTTGTTTCTTCAAGTCCTGTTCTAGACGCACTTTGCTATCATGAATCTCACCAAGACGTGATTTCAACTTATCATAATTCATCATAATTCTGTGAAAATAGGACATATTAAGGCTAAAATAACAACAGAAGCAGAAGGGTCAAGAAGCATAAACAGGGTCCTAATATCTTGTTGGGTTTGTTTGAGACAGGGTCTCACTATGCTACAAGGCTGGTCTTAAATTCCTGGGTTCAAGAAATGCACTTACCTCAGCCTCTGGCACAGCTGAGATTACAGACCTGTGTCACTATTCCCAGCTAGTACCATAAGAATGTGACTATGACAGACAGGGGTGCTGGGCTATATCAGGGGGGAAAAACCACCATGTCTATTCTTAATGAGTTTGCACTTGAATGGAAATATGTTGCACTGGGATCAGGACCGGACACTGTATAAAGACTTACACAACACCCCTAAATGGAATGAGATATTGAGGAAGGCTTTTCTGGAAAAGGTTATGTCTAACCTAAGTCCTACAGGATGGATAAGAATTAAGAATTTACACAGATAAGAGAAAACACATAAGAAAGAAAGATGCCATTTGGTACCATTCATTACTGGGAACAGCCAGCAGTTCCATATAACATAGCTGTGCAACTTGAGGGGGTATAAACAAACAAGACAGAAATTACTAATAAAGAAAAAAGTCTTCTTTCATTACTCACTTGGAGGTATTAAGTACACTCACCGTTCAATCTCCTTTTCATTCCCCTCTCTGCGAAACCGCTCAATATATTCTTTACTGTGTTGTTCCTGGGTATGACACTGCTCCTCAAATATTTTAATAGTTTCATTAAAGGCTTCAATTGCAGTCCTCTTCATCTGTATTTCCTACAGGAGGAAAAGAAACAATATACACTTTATAACTAGGCAGGGTGATTCCTGACTATAATGTCAGTACTCAGGAGGCAACAAATAGGAGGATCAGGAGTTCAAGGACAGCCTCATCTACAGGGCAAGTTTAAGGCCAACTTTAGCTAAATGAGACTCCATTTCAAAACACACACAAACACTTTATCATATTTTTATGATCTTGATCTTGAAAGAAATTTTGTAATTTTTATTATAATCCCTTTATCAGACCAAATCATGAACTAGAGATGTGGCTCATAGTCGAGTACAGTCTAGCATATGAAAGGTCCCTGATTCAGTCTCCAGCGCTGCTGGAGGTGGTGGGGGAACTGGAGATGTATCTCAATTGTTAGAGGGCTTGTCTGGCATACACAAAGTGCTGGGTTTGATTATCAGTACCAAGCATGATAGCACATGTGATCTCAGCACTCAGAAGGTAGAGACCCAAGGACCAGAAGTTAAAGGTCATGAATGGCTACACAGGAAGTTCAAGGCCAGTCTGGATTGTATAATATGCTATCTCAAACAAACAAAGAGAATTATAAGACCCTATGGCAGGGCAAAACTTTTACTCAACCCTTCTCTAGTACTTACATGTAAAACACTTCAGATTATAAAATAAATAAAAAGAATCATTACCTGAGATATGGCTAAGAACCACAGAAAGGCCTATGAATGAGTTGCCAAGAGACTAACCTTGAACGTCATTGATTAAAAGGGTCATTTACTGTGCACCTATTATTACAGTACTAACCCCTAAAAGTTAAGTGAAAGAGTGACTGGCCACATAAGGAGTTCATATATCAAAATTCAAAGTCTTATTCCCAGAAGAGCCATGTAGAGTCTATTTATTATCACTTTCATCACTACACTGCATGCTGAATTTGCCAGATTCATCAGTAATCTGACTAGAAGAAAAAAAGCAGAGAAAGAATATCTGCTAAAGTCAGATGTACTAAAATGAAAAACTAAAAATTCTACAAAACACACTTACTAACTCCAAAACCCCAGTTAGACTAAGCCATTTAGTCTCTCATACATTCTGATGACCTTTGAGGATAGCAAGGTTTTAAAAAATAATTTTGTATTTTATTATATTTATTTCTTGTATGTATGCCCACGTGCACAGCAAGGTGCTTGAATGTGGAAGTCACTATATTCTCCTTCCACCATGTGGGTCCTAGGGATTGAACTCGGGTCATCAGGCACCTTTACATGCTAAGCCATCTCACCATCCCAAGACACAAGAGGCTATCATCTTAGTCAGGATGGCCCTACAATCTTCAGAAAGGGCTTAATTCTGGTTCAGTGTACTTCTAAGAAAAGTAATGATTGTGCATAAAATTCCAGAAATATTGCTATACTGGGTATTTATAATTCTAGAAATTTTTCAACTATCTCATATTTACTAACTTCAGGCAATGGTCACTAAGAACATACTATACCTGCTGGGCGGTGGTGGCGCACGCCTTTAATCCCAGCACTCGGGAGGCAGAGCCAGGCGGATCTCTGAGTTCGAGGCCAGCCTGGGCTACCAAGTGAGTTCCAGGAAAGGCGCAAAGCTACACAGAGAAACCCTGTCTCGAAAAACCAAAAAAAAAAAAAAAAAAAAAAAAGAACATACTATACCATAAGTCCTACCTGATGGTAATAAAGAGAACTTGAGAAACTGAAGCCTGCACCCAGGACTCAGAGGACAACTATTGAACTTTAGTTAGGTTTGGCTTCGTGTCACGGTAGAAGTAACCAAATGCAGTTAACTAATTTTTTAATTATTATTATTATGATGGGGAGGCAGGTTGCATGACATGACATGCATGGAGAGATCAGAGGATAGCTTAGTGAAAGTGGTTCTTTCCTCCCACTTTTCCATGGGGCCAGGGTTCAAACTCGGTCTCCAAGCTATTGTTGCAATACCCACTTTACCCACTCAGCCATTTCTCTTGCCTTTAATTAATTTTGTTGTTGCTGTTTGGTTTTGTTTGGTTGGCTTTTTGGGGTTCTTCTTTTGTTGTTGTTTTGGGTTTTTTTGTTTATGTGTGTGTGTGTGTGTGTGTGTTTAGATAGATTTCACTGTTGCCCAGGCTGGCCTCTAATCTGAAGTCCTCTTGCCTTAGTCTCCTATTATTGGGATGATAGGTATATACCCAGTAACATGTTACCATTTTATTTTTTGTTTTGAGAGATGGTCTCATGTAGCTCAGACTGGCCTTGACGTCATTATATGTAGCTATGGATGACTTTGAATACCTGATCCTCCTACCTCTGTCTTCTAAGTACTGGGATTATAAGCATTTGTCATTATGCCTCATCAATAAATTAAATTTATTAAATAAAGATGCCAGGTAGGCCTTACCGAGATGATGACATATGGGAAGACTTGAAGGAAGTAAGGGGGTTAGCCAGGTTTTTACAAAGTTTTTGAAGCAGTCAGTCAATGCAAACACTGCAAGGTGGAAATTGGGTGTATTATATTTAAGAACAGTGAACCGGGGAGAACAGTGACTAGTTCTAAGGAATAATGTCCAGGCCAAGAGGATGGCCAGGGAGAAAAACCATCTGACAGACACCAAGCCTGAGCACCCACGGAGAAGGAAGAGAACCAACCACTGAAGACTGTCCTCTGACACCTACACACAAGAAACAAAGCTGAGCAGTGGTGGCACACACCTTTAGTCCCAGCACTCAGGAGGCAGAGGCAGGTGGATCTCTGTGAGTTCGAGGCCAGCCTGGTCTGAAGAGAGTTCTAGGATAAGACAGGGCTACACAGAGAAACCCTGTCTCAATAAAAACAAAACAAAGCATTATTAATGAAGTAGGGTCAGAGCCAGGCATGGCGGCACATATTTACAATCCTAGCATTCAAGAGGTGGAGGCAGGAGGTTGAGGTATTCAGGCTTACCTCAAGTATATCACGAGTTCAGACTTCTTTCTTTTTTTAAATATCTTTAGAGAACCCTGACTAATAGATGGTTTGGGGGTTATGTTGGATTTTGTTTGTTTGTTTTTACAAACTCCTTGTAAACAAAGAAGTAAGCCCATGACAACAACTCAGTCAGCAAAGCACTTGCACACAGGCTAAGGACCTGAATCTGGCCCCAGAATCCACATATAAAAGACAGGCACCGTGATGTGCTTATGATCTCCATGTTGGTGAAGTAGAGACAAATGGACCCCTGGGGCTCACTTGCCGGCCAGCTTAGTCTACTGGACAAACTTCAGGCCAGTGACAGACCCTATCCCAAGAAACAAAGTGGACAGTGCCAGATGAACACCACCTGAGACTGACCTCTGTCCTCCACACACGCACTGAAACATAAGCACAAGAGTGTAACTTAACCTATGTTAGACAATTATCACCCTGGCTGATAAGCTGAAACGTGATTTAGGAGATGAGAAGTGGCGGATGGGGCAAGAATATGTTAGGAGGCTGCTGCAGTAGATGCAGATGGTATAGCCTGAATCTGGAATGTTCCCCAAAGGTGCATGTGTTAAAGGCTTTATGGACCACTTCCTAGAGGGCACTACTGGGGTAGGAGGTGGAACCTTTAGGAAGTCAGGTCACTGGCAGCACACCTTTGAAGGATCTAGCAGAACCCCGGCCCCCCCTCTCCTGATACAGCACTGAAACAGCTAAAACTGCGATCCAAAGCAAACCTTTCTCCCTTTGTGGCTGACTCTCAAGTATTTTGTTGTTGAATGTTACGTTGTGTCTCTACTACGTAGCCTGAAATGGTCCAGAACTGGCTATGCAGACCAGGGTGGCCTCTTTAGTGCTGGGATTAAAGGTGTGCACCTTCATACCCAGCCTTCAAGTATTTTGTCACAGCAACACAAAAATTATCACACCAGACGAGAAAGTAGCTTTGGACAAGGTATCAGTAGTAAAGGTGGTGAGAAATGTTTAGGTTCTGCATATATACTGAAGACACAGTGAGCAGGACTTATGTGATTGGTTACAAGCTATAAAGGACTCTGCTATAACACTAAGGCTTTGCCTAAGTAAGGAGGAAGATGTGAGTATTTTGAATCAATGTGGTAAAGACTTCAGGTGAGACTTTCTTGAAGTAGAAGACCAGATTTCTGCTGAAAAAGTATAGAATTCTAATACCAAAATGTTGTGCTGGTGCATATTCTTGTGTGAAAATGGATTCCCTTTTTATCTTTTTAATTATTAAGAATCATTTTGAGGTAGGCAGTGGTGGCACAAACCTTTGCTCCCAGCACTTGGGAGGTAGAGGCAGGTGGATCTCTGCAAGTTTGAGGCCAGCCTGGTCTACAAAGCAAGTTCCAGGACAGCTAGGGTCACACAGAGAAACCCTGTCTCAAAAAAAGATTAATTATAACTTTTTTTTTGATATTTGATATTTGTGCTACATCTGTTGTATACCTAAATGCATGCGTGTATTTAAATTCAATTTTAAAAATATATACTTATTTATTTTTATTCTCTCATACATTATTACATCTGACCACATTTTCTCCTCCCTCCACTCCTCCATTTCCCTTCAAAAAAAAAAAAAAAGAGCAGAATATCAATCAAACATGGCATAACAAGTTACAATGATACTAGGTACAAACCTTTCTATAAAGGCTGGACGAGACAACTCGGGAGGAGGAAAAGGATCCCAAAAGCAGACAGAAGAGTCAAAGACACACCCCCACTCCCACTGTTAGGAGTTCCACAAGAACATGAAGCTACACAACCAACACCGAGGACCTAGCTCAGATCTATACAGGTCCGTGCTCGTTGCTTCGATCGCTGTACCCTCTACGAGTCCTGCGTAGTTGATTCTGTGGGCCTTGTTCTCAACCCCTCTGGCTCCTTTGAGAGTGATCCTAACAAGACTCCCAGAAATGGGGGATATAGAGGCTGAACTGGCCATCTTCTATAACCAGGCAAGGCTTCCAGCAGTGGGACTGGGACACCAACCCAGCCATAGAACCTTTGACCTACAATCTGTCCTGCCTGCAAGATGTGCTGGGGTAATGGTAATGCAGAACTTATGGGAATGGCCAACAATGACTGGCCCAACTTGAAGCCCTGCCATGAGAGAAGCCCATGCCTGACAATGCCTGGATGGCCAGGAACCAGAGGCTAGACAGCCCAGAGACTCTTGACTGTCAAAAAAAAAAAAAAAAAAAACCAGCCAAAAAACAAAAACCCAATGAAATGATTCCTAAGGATGCTCTGCTGTACTCACAGAGCAGTGCCCAGCCCAGTTGTCATCACAGAGGCATCATCCCACAACTGATGGGAGCAGACGCAGAGATCCACAGCCAAACACTAGACAGAGCCAGGGGAACCCCACAGAAGAGGGGAAAAAAGTCTGTAGGAGCCAGAAGGTTGAGGACATTTATTTATATCATGTGTTTGCCTGGTGTCTAGACCTTAATGTCCAGTTTCAACATCTTTTACTTTAGTACTTCCAGATGAATTAACTGTGATGAGCCTAGTGTGTGATAGTAGAATGGAGAAAAAGTTATTAAGACTTTTACAGACTGACTCCATTAAAATGATCAACATTATAGGTATGGTGAAATGGTCAATATGAGGCTTTATAGTTAGTAAATTATGGGATTTTGCTTCCAGGCTAGAGAGCAAAACCAGGAAACTATATATGCTAAATAAGCATTCTATCAATGAGCTATACCCCAAGTACTACCTCTTATTTTATATAATTTGAAAGGAAAAATGCATAAAGCATAAAAATGTAATATTGGACAGTATATAACAAAGGGACAGGGCATGTTGGCACAAACTTTTTAACCCTTGCACTTGAGAGGTAGAGGTACATAGATTTCTGTGAGTTCAAGGCTAGCCTGGTCTACATAGTGAATCCAGTCTATCCAGGGATATATAGTGAGACCCTGACTCAAAAAAAGAAGGGGACAAGCAGGGACAGAGATGCATAATAGTAGTGTTTATGTAATACTATAAAGATTTTTTTAACTATAAATTAACCCAATTATATATATATACTAGGCATCATAAAGAACACTCTACACAGCAAGGGTAGAATATAGATAATTCTTAGGTAAAGATATAATATTCTTCAAAATATATCCAGGCCACAAAACAAGTTTTAATAAATTTTATATTTCTTTTTTTAGATTTATTTATTTAATTTGATGTGTATGAGTGTTTTGCGTGTATGTATGTGTGTGCACCACATTTGTGCCTGATGCCTTCAGGTCAGGGGAAGCCATTGGGTCTGCACTATAGTTACACATGGTTGTGAACCAACATGTGAGTGTTGGGAACCAAAGCCAAATCCTTTGCAAGAATAAGTGCTCTTAAATGCTGAGCCATCTCTCTAGCCCCAAGTTTTAATAAATTTTAAAAGACTCAAATCATGCAGAGGATCTTCTCTGATCCACAGAGAAAAGAAAATAAAAATCAATCACAGGAGGAAAAATTAGAAAGTAACAAATATACAGAAATTAAATAACATGCTGCTAAACAACTGATGGTTCATAAAATAAATGACAAAGGCCAGGTGTAGTGGTGTATCCTTTAATCCCAGAAGGCTTGTGGGGCAGTTGTAGACAGATTTCTGTAAGCTCCGGGCTACCCTCATCTACACAATGTTCCAGGGCTACATAGTGAGGCCTCGCCTCATATAATAACAACAATAATAAATATAAAATAAACAAATGACAGGTGAAATTAGATGAATGAAACCTACGCACTCCATAAGAAAACCTATGAGATATGACAAAAGCAATATTCAGGGAATTTCATAGATGTAAACACCAATGATTTAAAAAAATGCAGAGAGGGGCTGGGGGTGAAAAGGTTCAGCTGGTGTGCTGGTTACTTTTGTAGCTTAACCCAAGGTAGGGTCATCTCAGAAGAGAAAACCTCATTGAGAAAATGTGTACATCATACTGACCTGTAGGAAAAGTGTGTGGGATACTTTCTGGATTAATAATTGATATGAAAGGGCCCAGTCCACTGTGAGTGGTTAACACCCCTGAGCAGGTGTCCTGGGTTGTCAAAGAAAGCAAACTGAGCAAGCCAAGGAAGCAAGCCAGAAAGCAGCACTCCTCCATGGTTTCTGTTCCAGCTCCTGCTCTGACTTCCCTTCAGGATGGACTACAACTGTAAGATGAAACAAACTCTTCCTTCCAAAGTTGCTTCTGGTCATGCTTTTTATCAGAGCAACAGCAAGCAAACTGACAGTGGGTAAAAAGGCCCGGGCCATCAGACCATGCAAGTTCTCAAGGACACCACAAAGTTCTCTCTGACCTGCACAAGTGTGCAGTGACACCAGGATTCTCATACATACTAATAACCGTTAATTTTTTTAAAAAGAGAAGTGTGCTTTCAAATCAATAATCTAATTGGATGACTTAAGGAACCAGGAAAAAAGAAAAAAAAAGCAAACAAAATGCAGAACTAGCAGAAGGAAGGAAACAATGAAGATTAGAGAAAAAAAAAAAAAAAAAACAGCAAAACCAGGAAAGGAGGTTCACCTGTGATACCAGCAGAACCAGGAAAGGGGGTTCACCTGTGATACCAGCAGAACCAGGAAAGGGAACCAGGAAAGGGGGTTCACCTGTGATACCAGCAGAACCAGGAAAGGGGGTTCACCTGTGATACCAGCAGAACCAGGAAAGGGGGTTCACCTGTGATACCAGCAGCACTTGAGGTGAAGGCAGAAGGAACAGGGATTCAGCATCACCTGCAACTACACTGAGCTAAATAAGACAGAGTCTCAAAGAAACAGAAACAAAGAAGGAAAGAAGAGAGAAAGGAAAGAGGGGTGAGAAAAGGGGACAAGAAGGGAGGAGGAAAAAAATCAATAAAATCAACAAACTTTTAGCTTAGAGTATATATAAAAGTTGGGCAGTGGTGGGCATGTCTTTAATCTCAGCACTTGGGAAGCAGAGGCAGGTGGATCTCTGTGAGTTTGAGGCCAGCTTGGTCTACAGAGTGAGTTCTAGGACAGCCAGAGCCACACAGAGAAACCCTGTCTGTGGGGGGATGGGAACACGGACTCAAAGAAGGATCATTACTACCAACTTCATATTCATAAAATAAATAGGAATAAAAACTTTAAAGTACAAAATGTAGGCTAAGTGGTCAAGAGCATTTACTGTTCTTGAAGAAGACTCCACATGATGGCTCACAACCATCCATAACTCCAGTTCTGATGGCCTCTTCTGACCTCCATAGGCATCAGGCATGCACGTAGTACAGACAAACAAGCCAGCAAAACACTCATACACATCTAATAAGTTTGTCTTAAAAAGCATAAAACTAGCTGGGCGAGACAGCACATGCCTTTAATCCCTGAGGCAGGTGGACCTCTGAGTTTGAGACCAGCCTGATTTACAAAGTGAGTTCCAGGCTAGTCTGAGCAACACAGAGAAACCCTGGGGGGGTGGGGGGGAGGGGCGGGTTTCCTCTTTCCTTCCTAGTCTTCCTTTCTTTTACTGGAAATATGGTGGTGATGGCTCCTGTTAAATAAGGAGAGCATAAAACAGAAAAATCCAAGACTCACAACAGCAGAGATGCTGAAACAGCCCTGCACTGCCCAGATGGACAAAAATTAATTTCTATCTCTAGAATTCATCATTGTTTATTTTTATAATTTACAACTATTATTTTATATTACCTAATTTAAAAAAAAAATTTGGAGACAGGTTCCCATGTATCCCATATAAGCTTCCAGCTGGCTACACAGCTGAGAATGATCTTGAATTTCTGATCCTCCTGCTTCCAGCTCCCCAGTGCCAGGGATCAAAGACTTGCACCACCACACCCAGCTTTATGTGATGCAAGGATCAAACCTGATAGGCAAACAAGATGCATTCTGTTTAAGTTAAGTCATATTCCTAACCCCCTGGATAATGCTGATAGAAAATTCTATCTTTAACAACAATAACAAAAAAGGTATGAGTGGGAGTATTTTTGTATCATCAAAGTCCCAAAAGGCAATTAAGAAAGGAAGGCAGCAGACCGTCCAGCCAACTACTCAGAATGTGAGAACAGTAACACTGCACAAAGACCATCCCCAAACAAGAGCTCTCACCTGAGATGTCCTGGTGTACTCTTCATACAGCCTGTCATACTCTTTACTCTTCTCCTGATACTGAGAGTGGAACTCTTGCAGGTTTTTACCTACTGCATCAATGTTATCTTCTTTTACCAACTGGTCCTACACAGGCAAACAAAAATAAAATGAAGGAATGTTATTAATTCTGACATGTTTTTCCAGATCTATTTACATTCAAATTATATTTCAACTTCAGAAATTTTAATACCAAGCACCAAAAACACTTTGTTTGATTTCGTGAGGATTTTGTTCTGTTCTGGTTCTTGAGACAGGGTCTCACTATGCAGACCAGGCTGGCCTGGAACTTATAGCAATCCTCGCCTCTCTAATGCTGGGATTAAAGGAACACACCACCCACCCAGCAAGCAAAACACTTTTTAGTGACACTAAGATCAGATTTTAAGTCAGGTAAAAATATTTTATTTTAAAAATTAAAAATATGGAGCTAGAGAAATGGCTCAGTGCTTAAGAGCACTGGTGCTCTTCCAGAGAACTTGGGTTTCATTCCCAGCACCCACATGGGGGCTCACAACCATCTGCAACTCCAGTTCCAGGAGAATCCAATGCCCTCCTCTGGCCTCAATGGGCACCATGCACATATATAAATGCACAGACATACAAGCAGGCAAAAACATAAAGCAAAATATAACAAAATTAAAAAAAAAAAAAAAAAAAAGACTGGAGGGATTGGAGAGATGGCTCAGTGGGAACACTTGTGCTCTTTCAGAGAACCCAAGTTCATTCCTAGCACCCACCTCCAGCAGTTTACAACTCCCTGTAATTCCAGCTCCAGATGTAATGTCATGTCTTCTGGCCTTTGCAGGCACAGGCACATAGGCACAAGGGCACACAGGCATGCACACGTGCACATGCATGCACACACACATACACAATTTTTAAATTAAAAAAGAAAAGGTCTCACCAAATGAGTAACTTTTTATGTAAGAAAGTGAGACTACAGATGCTGTAGAATATTATTTTAAGATTTGTTACATTTGTTTATGCTGTGGAACATTTATTTAATGATGCAAAGATGTGTTCTTTTATGTTGCATTTGTTTAACTCTGTGAAGCTGTGTTATTTTGCCTGTCTAAAACACCTGATTGGTCTAATAAGGAGCTGAATGGCAAATAGCTAGGCAGGAGAGGGATAGGTGGGGCTGGCATGGAGAGAGGATAAATAGAAGGAGAAAAAGAGAAAAGGAGGAGTGAGAAAAGGAGAAGGAGAGAGGGCATCAGGGGCCAGCCACACAGCCAGCCACAGACTAAGAAGTAAAGAAAGGTATATAGAATAGAGAAAGGTAAAAGCCCAGAGGCAAAAGGTAGACAGGATAATTTAAGAAAAGTTGGCTAGAAATAAGTCAAGCATTCATAAGTAAGAATAAGATTCTGTGTGTGGTTTAAAAAGTAAAAAGAAAAACCCAATTATACTCCTCCCTCCCTCCCTCCCTCCCTCTCTCTCTCTCTCTCTCTCTCTCTCTCTCTTTCACATACACACACACACACACACACACACACACACACACACACACGAGGTATGATAGCAAAAACCTAAAATCCCAAGAACTCAAGAGACTGGGGCAGGAAGATCAGAAACTCAAGGTCACTATCAGCTACATAGTGATTTCAAAGCCAGCCTACCTACATGAAACCCTATTTCAAAAAACAAAATTGAAAAAAACTAAGCTAAAATACCTAAAATGCTACTTAGAAAATGTATCTTTTTCTTTTCTTTTTTTTTTTTTTTGAAGCGGGGGGGATAGGGTTTTACATCGCCCTGGTTGGCCTAAAACTCAGAGATCCACCTGCCTTAAAGGCAAGCACCACCACACTCAAGATTAACTGGGAAAATAAATATAAACTAGATTTCTTTTTAACCAATAAGCCTGAAAAATAGAATAAAATTATATGAAATAATGCTGTGAGAATGTCTATGATCATACCTGTTGGTATCTGGATACCGGGTACATCAGCTTCACATCGAGTTTGGGATTGTACTGAGCAAGAGATTCATGGTGATAGTGGTTAATGAGCTCCACCACAGAATTAAATGTCAGGGGGTCAGAAAAGCCGTATTTACCATCCCGATGATAGATCTTTATTAATTTATTATTGCCTCCCTTCCTGTAAACAACAAAACAATAACTGTAGCATCGTTCCCAGAATTCTCTTAAAACACTAATTTCATATAGAGATATAAAAATTTAATTCACATCAAATAAATGTATTATTATGCTAATACGGTTAGAGGTGATAAAACAGCATATATTAACAGTGTGTTTGCAAGTATATATTCCTTTTTATTGTTGTTGTTTGTTTTTTCAAGACAGGATTTCCCTATGTGGCCCTGGCTGTCCTGGAACTCGCTCTGTAAACCAGGCTGGCCTCAACTCACAGAGATCCGCCTGCCTCTGCCTCCAGAGTGCTGGGATTAAAGGTGTGTACCACCACCATCTGGCATATATTATTTTCTTACCTAATTTCTTTCTTTCTCTCTCTCTTTCTTTCTTTTTCTTTCTTTCTTTCTTTCTTTCTTCCTTCCTTCCTTCCTTCCTTCCTTCCTTCCTTCCTTCCTTCCTTCCCTTCCCTTCCCTTCCCTTCCCTTCTCCTCTTCTTCTTCTCCTCCTCCTCCTCCTTTGTTTTGTTGTGTGTTCTTGAGACAAGGTTTCTCTATAGCCATGGCTGTCTTTGAACTTGCTCTATGGGTCAAACTTGCCTTGAAAAACAGAGATCTGCTTGGCTCTGCTTCCAAGTGCAGGGCCATCACACCTGACCTGTTTCTTTCCTTTGTTTTTTCCTATTTGTTTTGTTCATAAAATACCTTGGTTATTAAAAATCAACACATCTAGGTTGAACGTGGCAGTACACATCTTTAATCTCGGGCCTGTGTACTCCATGCCACCCTGGTCTATACCATGAGTTCCAGGACAGTCAGGACTACATGGAGAGACTCTGTCTCAAAAACAAAACCAAACAAAAAACCAAAATGTATACAACATTCAGTATCAACAAATTTAGCCCAAAATATTACTAAAACATAAGTAAATTATTTCTTTTGGTTTTTTGTGAATTGTTTTTAAATTATGTCACAGAGAACAAAGGCAATCTCATCAGGACAGCTGTGTCTAAGCAGAGGCAGAAGCCAGCTCTATATAAAGGGAATTATAAACGTTTGTCTCAGTATCACCAAAACACTCAAGGTTTTACTACAGATACAATTTGATGCTTAAGTAGTCCAGACCACCTTTATTTACTGAGTCAAACCCTAATAATCCCTTAAAAGATCACTTATAGGCCGGGCAGTGGTGGCGCACGCCTTTAATCCCAGCACTCGAGAGGCAGAGCCAGGCGGATCTCTGTGAGTTCGAGGCCAGCCTGGTCTACAGAGCGAGATCCAGGACAGGCACCAAAACTACACAGAGAAACCCTGTC